AGTCCATCACACTTCCAAGAAGCTCAGGGGACACAGTTTGTCCCAAACCCAACTGAAATCAGTTTACAGTGATATAACAGAGCCCTGGTAAATCCTCACATTATGTGAAGCAGATAAAGTCAGATATTTAGTGTTTTTCCCTTGATAAATATCTCGGTCAACTGATTATCAAACCGCTGATTGGCATGTCTGTTGATTGGCCACTCAGCACCATGAACTGATTACTGAACCAAAGTACCATGAAGGGGGTGCTAACCTTTAAAGTGGAAGGCCAAAGGACTAAAAAAAAGCCACCAACTGACACAAAAAAAAGATGCAAAACTGCTTCAGAGAGACACATAGTGACTAAAATAAGACAGAAACCCCCAAAAGACAGCAAATCAACTATAAAGAGATGCCAAACTAAAAATAACCAAAAAGGACTACGTGCAAAACAAGTAAAAATTGCTAACACATGCAAAACAACAAATGCGCAGAGACAACCCCCAAAATAGTTAAAAACTATTTAACATGTGATGCTCAATGAGTCTTGCTCAAGACGGGTTGGAGAGATAGGAGCCTTCTGCATGTGCGTGGCCAGGGGCCCATTGTCTCCCAATGTCCACAGTCATAAATTAACTTATATAAAATGTTGACTCGTGTTCTAAATGATCTGCAACAAATCATGTTTTTTGTGTGCATGTAACTTTGGGAAGTGCTGGTGTGAAGAAGTCATTATTACAAAATGGCTAAGTGTGTGTATTTGACAGTTAAGACACTTAAGTGCTGCTGCTGCAGCCTTTAACTGCTATGGATTATTTTGCATTTGGTTGTTTTATCATCATTGTCCAAAGTCTAAAAGACATTACAAACTTGCACCCCACAACTACACAAACAGGTTAAAACTGACCTACTTTGAGCAAAGGTTAGGGCTGCTAACAAACATCTCGTATCAAAACAACAGCATCCAGTGAGACAGTTCATCAGTCAAACCCGCTTTATGTTACCGCCCCCCCCCCCCCCCCCCCATTCTCTTCCGCGGCGTGCATGCTCCATATGCAGCAGGTAACCAGAAGTCTCTTAGAAGATGAGCTGGGTTATGTTCTTTTCAGTTTAGGGAATAAACTCTATTTGTGTCTCACACACAATCATACCAGGCTGGCGGAGGCAACTCTAGGTGTTCCCTAGAATTAGTCTCTATCCAAGTGAACAACAGTGTAACAAAGGGATGAAGGGGAGCATCAGGTTACCTACACGTGTGCCAGACCTACCTGTCCTGACCATATCCACTTACACACCAAAACACACAGTGTCCATCTTACATAACATGTGGGTCCCAGTTGGGAGGAAAGGATGAATAGACAGCACAGTGAGGCCTAAACTTCCACCATGACACCACCCTTCCAAAAAAAAAACAAAAAAAAAAAACCCACCACCATTAACCTGCAATAACGGAGCATCATGCAGCTTCTTGCTTCTTAGTGTTTGGTTGAGGACGCACTGGTTATCGTAGATAACCATGGATGAGTTAATAAGAAGTTCACAAGCTCCTCGGTGCTGTCAAGAAGTTTAGCTCAGTCCACACTTTGTTCTTGTTAATCAAATAATGACGATGTTTGAAGGCTTAATTTGATTTTGTGTAAGATGGATACCTGGAGGATGTGCACAACAGCCTAAATCTGTCCTCAAAAAGACACCAAACTAGTCCAAACATCATCATCGTCACACACACTTCCTCACCTTGAAGACCTCAGAGAAGAACCCAGCTCCGATCTTCTCGCAGCTGAAGTCATCTAGGCGGGCCAGGCTGGACACGGCGCTGCGCAGGGCCCGGTAGGAGGACGGTCGGATCCGGTTGGTTCCATGGACACTGTGCATGGGCGGCTCTGCCTCTCTCTCCTGCTCCGACTTGACCCTCTCCGTTTCCATCTCGGGCAGCCCGGGAGGAGAAGGAGGAGGGGACGGGAGGAGGACGTCGGACGTGTGCGTAGTTTAAAATCCAGCCCGACTACTGTTTACATTTCCCACGTCCGCTACAAGGCGACAGCGCAGGGCTCTCCGGAGGAGAGCAACGATAAACGCTCAGTCGGGGAAACAAATGTCACAGCTGTGGTCAGCGACCAGTTAGAGTCCAATTCTTCTGTCAAATTGCACGGGTCCGGAACAAGCTTGCGTCGGTCCGTGCTTAACAAACTACGCAGCTGCAGCGGTGCATCCTGCAGAGTCGATGCGCAGTTTGTGTGAAGTCCCTCACGCTGCGCAGCAGAGGAGGCGGTGCAGTTTTCTTTTGCTGCTGTCTTGGCAGTAGCGTCTCTCTCGATTTCCTCCAGCTCTGCTCCTCCTGCGGTAGAAGAGGCCCGGGCTCCGTTTCTGGTTCCACCAATTGGATCCCGGGTTTCCAGTGCGCGCAGAGCTGCCTCACTGGCGCTGCGGCCTATGAAAACAGAAGAGGGGGCGGAAACGGGGGCGTTAATTCACTAAATTGAATAAAGTGTGTGCATCTGATGTGAACTATATGACAGTGAAACTCCTGCTCACATCAATTGAACGCGATTCCTATACAAGGATTTTTTTTGGCTTAATTACATAAGTGTGGCAAATTATTAAAAGGTCAGAAAAACTAACGCTGAAGGTTTCAAAGCATGATAGGGCTTTACCGCAGTTCTCACATTACGCACAGCGTGCGTGTCAGCGTAGTCTCTGCATTAACATCACATTTAGACTCGCAGAGCGCAAGAAGAAGACAATCATCTCGATTAGAAGAAACACAAATCTAGAGTTAATGATAAATTCGGCTGTGTGCCATGTTTGCCATCTGCTCCCCTGTGATTAACAGCCGTGGCTGCAGCAAGATCTGACCTGTCATTGTTACATGCCTGCACTTTGCGCTCTTTAAGAGCGATCCACGCACTCAGGTAGTATTTACAGATCCAATGGTCGCTCGGTCACGCAGGAGGTCTGCAGACAGCGGGCGCATACCCTGCAGGAGCTGCACAAATCGGCATGTCGCCGATCTCCCCACAGCCTGACTGCGTCTTGTGAATTATGGATGTCTGAGCTGAGTTGGTGAGCTCGTCTGTCACGGACTCAAGAGGTCCCCTCCAGATACACACACACACACACGAGCCTCGCGATTCAAACTCAAAACGCTGACGCACAACTGCTCCGTGGTCGAGCATGGACGCGTGTTTGTCTTTCAGAAAAGGTCTGGACTTACCTGGCCTTCTCTAAAAACATAACCTCCAGGTGTGTTGAGCCCGGATCAGCTGCGGCGTCCTGTTACCGATGGCTTTATTTTACTAGTTAATCATCTTTGTACAGGCTTCAGCGGTTTCGTTTTACGTACGCGCCGCCGCCGCGTCTCTGTCCCGGCCTAACTGTGGGAGTGGCTGCTTTTGCTGTGTTTTATTGGAGGCGGCGAGGGGGGGCGTGTCCTCACATGGTCACCGCAAAAATGCACCTGTGGGTGCGCTGCTGCGCACTCATCTATAGGTTTGGTATCCATTAATCTACATGAAAACGGAGTAGGCCACAGTATTTAGAAAGCTGCAGAGCCTTAATTTACTAGATGTTATTTGATTAGAGCCTCCTGTGCTGATTTGTCTTTTTTATTTTAAGATCAGAGGGTGTAGTCTAAATGATGTTTTGTAATGGTCAGAGGATGATCCTCTGTGTATGTATGGCTATACATACTTAGTCTTGTTTGATTCTCTAATATTTCTTAAAAGAAATGTCTGTTTACAGGTCTTAATATGCTTACAGTATGAGAAGAAAGTCATATACAGCCTTTTGTGGCTCCAGATGCTTCCTCAGCTGATGCTAGTCATAACTAAACTATCAGTGTGAAGAGGAAACGGTGAGACAAACTAAATCCTCCCTAGTGCAAGGCAGATATCTCAAATTGTGTTGTGTGGTGCATATTATGCAATGCTATACAGCCGCTGGATTTCATGGTGCGATTCCTTTAGGGTGTCTATGATGTAACTTGAGGCAGTGCTGGTTGAGGCTGAAGACTACAAGTTTGAAAATGAATAAGAATCTAAGGATGTGGTGTCCAGAAAGAAGTGAGCTTACCAGACATCCTCAGCTCCTCCTCTCTACTGTAGGCCAGAGGCTACAGGATACACTAGCTGCTACTAATGTAACAGAGCTGAGTCTCTAGAAACAAACAATAACCACCTGCTGTAAGTCTGATTGTGTTATAGGACTGCAATGCCAAAAGTTCACTGTTACTTAACAGGTGGACCAGGCACAGGTCCAGCTGCCCAATTGGTCAGAGGACCCTGGAAAGAGACAAAACACACACACAAATCTGCAAAAATAGCTAGAAAGAAACACAAAATATCTGCCAAGAGACACAAAGCAACCGCCTGTAGATGCAAAACATCTTCAGAGACAAAAAAAAAGCTTTAAAAAGACAAACAAAATGAGTCTGTTTCAGTCTTGGTGCCTTGCTTCTGTGCAGGAGGGTGAGGGGGCTTTTAACATGTCTATGCCCAGGGGCTCATTGTGTCATGGTCTGTCCATGCCTGTCTCCATCTTGATTAATGGATAGTGGACTGTAAAAATACCAGAGACAAAGATGGAAACACATGGAAAGGAATTATTACTGAAAAAGCCAAATCAATGTGAGATTTTAACACACCTGCATTTGTCTACTACTAATTCATGTTTGCTGTTGTAGTTAAACTGTCGCAGCATTGCTGTCCCTCCACAAGACAGATCAATCTCCTCTGAGCACTATAGTAATGTTGGACCACATTAAGGTGATTGAAAGAACACCCCCACACTAAAAGAGATTCCTGCTTTCACACAGAGAAACCTATCTTGCTCATTTTTAAAACCCCAACAAATTCAGCGCTACTGATTATTGTACTTTAACTTATTCTGGCTAAGATGCTTGTTTCCCAGAAATGCTTTCATTAATGTGTGCCTGTTGTGTCTCACACCTGGACACCAGGGCACATTTCTGGTCAACGCTCTTCAAAAGATACTTCACTGTAAATAAAACATCAAATGCACACCTCCCCTGCATCTGAAATGCCCATTTTCACCTACACACACAGGCCTGGACCTGCAAATTTATGTCCTCAGCCTGCTGTGTCTCCCATCCAACCACCCTGGAGGTAGCCCCTTGTTAGAGCTCATTGATGGGTGCTGACGGTCCCACTCGGCCCTGCCTGCCCAGCCTAAAGGCAGCCAGGCAGGGGGCCAGGGGCCTTTATAATTGGTTTTTGGAGCACAGCTGTTTCATGTCTCCTTATGCTGGTCCCCAAAGGAGGTACAGGGGCAAGGGGGTGATGGGGTTGCCACATGGTCCACTCTACCTCCTCCAACTTCTTAACCTCCCCCTCTCATCCCGGATGAAAGTCTGCCGTCAAATAAATAAATAAATAGACTTTTGGATATGGTACTAATGATGGGAGAGGCTGCACACATGTATATGAATATAAGAATACATACTCTCTGCACACACACATAAAATATGAGCCTAGAGCTGCTCTATGGGTTTAAAGGCAGTAATATAGTTTTTTAAATAAAATAATTTCACAATTTAGCCACATTTGACAGCGACCCTCTTTTTGCACCTAACATACACTCCTTAATTAAATACCTGCATACAATCTGAAGATGGATTTTGAGATCTGACCTTTTAGAAATTTAAAATAAAGCGTATGCTGTACCTTGAGCTTATACCTCATGACTGTACAAAAATACAAAACCTGGGGGGTATTATCGAACCATGTTTCAACAGTGGAAAGAAAAACAACATTGACTACATTTGGTTGTGTCTTATGTGGGATGATTATTGTTTCACTTGTGAAAAGTTAATTTGACCTGATTTAGGGAGACACTAACAGTAAGAACTTTCACATTTACACATGGGCCACAAAGCAAAAAAAAAAGAAAGAAAATTTCTATTTATGAAAATTAACATGTGCCCAAGAAGCAAAGCTACGACATGTACTTCAGATTCATGTGTTCTCAAATAACGTATAGAAAAAATACAGCACAGCAGCATAATGTCACATTTTCTACTCATTTTTTTTAAAACTTTTGATCATATATTTTATCTGGATTTAACACTGATATTAAAGACAACTTCCCTCTACCTTTAAACACTGAAGCCATGTTACATTTCAGCTAAACTGTCTGGAATAATTTAAGTAATCTTTTACTACAGAATTCCAGGATGTTTAATATGCTTTTTTTTCACCCTAAAAAGAGTAATTTATGGAAAGGTCAAAATACTTCTAAGTAATGGAAAATGGTCACTTACACTCACAAACTATACCCTTTCCATCCCGGGGGACAAACAAATCAGCTTCCACTGGTCTCCAGGGCAGAGTTGAAGCACTGGAAAATGGATGAGAGTGAAGTCCTGCTTCATCTAATAGGAGCAGTAAAGTAAATTAGATGACTGCAACAGAGTTTGATTTGACATTAGGAAAATTAAATGTGTGAGCCAGCTGGGGGTGCAGAGTATAAAATTATTAACCAAAAGTGTTGTGAACCTGAAAAAAATGTGCATGTTACAAACCGTCTTCTACTGTGTGTATAAAAACACGTGTAAATAATGAGCTATAGGTGGATGGGATGTGGCATCTGTCCCATGGCAAAGGAAACAAGATGGAAATCAATACAAAGGCACCAACAGCCATCCTCTGCTGCTCACTGACCACGTATCACTTTACCCTGAAGGCCTGCTCTCACAAAGGCTTCAAAATTCCCACGAAACACAACAGAGTGCATGATATACTCAATGCAAAGACACTGCATAAGGGGCAGTTAACTACACTTACATTTACTTCATGCAGTTTTCCCAGACAGCAGTGGAGATCTTGACCTCGGGATACAAACACAGTCAGCGGTGTGTTCCCTGGTTCCCCCTCTTGTCTCTACATGGCTGGTACTTTTCTGAGTCTCAGGTAGGTTTCACCTTACAGGTAGAGTGATCTGTTTATCTCCACTTGGTCTCTACTCTGATATGTCTGTGTTTGTTTTTTTTCAGCTGGGCCCACCCTTCATGGAGTACTTTTAATTCTGTGACCACCACTTCATTTTGTCAGAGGACAATGCAGTTTATTTGCTAAAGCATCGCCATCAGCTATACATTAATGGGATAATAGGTCAGCATCTGTTGCCACATTTTAAACATGTGCAAAACATCCACTTCCATCAGATGATAAAATTTATATGGACCTCATCCTGGTAAAATGTCCTGCATCTGACAATCAATAAATAGCTCAGCAGGGTGTGTGCTGCCAGTGTACTGAGCTTATTGATTTCACATTTATTTTAGTCACACAGTCAAACCATAATATGGCATTTTCCAACAATATGAAGAATGCACAACCCCCCTCCCATTAGTGGAACCCTTAGAAAGCGAATGTAGTTGCTTTTTAATTTAAATAAAAGATACAACAGCTGGAAAGTAACATACAAACCCCAATGTACTTATTAGTTGATTCTATATACAGTGTTAGGATGGTTTAGAAACCCCAAATATATAATTTCACCACTGCTTTGATGGGTTGAGTTGGAACTCAGCAAGTTTATATTGTTAGATAGGGTAATCTATTTTGATTTGATTTGATTTGATTTATTCTTTCAAGCATGTAAAGACAGTTGATATATCAACACACATAATTTTACACATATCCAACAAATGCTAATCCAATATCAATTTGCTTATACCTAGTACATGCTTGAATGGAGTAGGAAGAAGTCAGACTTATCCAGTCCTACCCCATGACATCATCTTACCATCCTTGGTTTGCAAGCAGTAAATGATTCTCTTCTACACCACACAAGTAATATACTAAAGAATTATTACAAAGTGTTAACATTCATACACCACACCCACAATGTTCCATCTAATTTTTTAAATTTAACTGACCCCTTAAATTGTATCCCCCTTCCCTTTCATTAAATAGTTTTTGAATTCCACCAGGTAATAAATTGTTCCTGGCTTTATACATAAACACTGCAGTCTTATATCCCACTAAATCAAAACATTTTAACAATTTAGTAAATTTTAAACAATTTTATAAGCTGATATGTTTTGTGTATTCAATCATACTTTTTTGGGATTACACAATGTAAGAGAGGGTATAGGGGGAACATTTTTTAATGATTTATACATACTGTATGGCCAAAGGTTTGAATAGTATAAATTACATAATGGTGGGGGGAAAAAATATAACATTGTGTAGAGCTAAAACAAAACACCAATATGAACCTTCACTTCTGCAGCAGCAGATTTGATAGAAACCACCAGACACTATGGATTTTCCACTGACCCAGTGACTTACCTGCATGGAAGAGGGTTTTTCTTTTCCCTAAATGCTGTGGCAGCGGTGTAGCCTTTAGCAATGCTGCCCTCTAGTGTTGACAGACAGTTACCTCACTGGAGTCCATTTAGTTCTTTCTTCTGATATAGTTTATATGTTTAACGTTGCATAAAATTTAAGTACAAATATCTCCAAATACTGTAGCCTACACCAAATGTGTATAGTATACTATATTTTATTATATAAAATAGGGTATTATACTTCTAGATTTACTATTTATTTTACCATACAAAACCCATACTATATTATACAGCCTAATTTAATGCTCTAGTGCTGTATTAGTACGTTTCACCTTATACTTTATATTTTGTACTATAGACTAATATAATAATTACTGCTGCTAAAACAATTTTAGTAGGCTGTGTTTACCTGGTAGACTTACTGTATGTTTATTGGTTAGGCCTACCTTGTAATTTAACCGCACTTGTATAGGTTCGATCTGTATCTATTGTTTGTACTATTTGTGTTCATTTTTAGTTGTCTGAGCGGCTTGCAACACCTGACTTCCATTTATACTGTCTATTATTTTGTTGAATTTATTTATTTTGAAGGCAAAACATCCATCTTCCGGTCATAGTGTCAGCCTCGCTAACCTGTGCTAGCATGACGCAGCAGATACATATAAATACACCATTCAGCGCTTGAGAGCCCCGAGGTTTCGTAGTGCGCGAGGTCGAGCGGCCGTTGACCTTCCATTCTTTCACCGCGGCGGAAACATGGCGCTGACTGGTCTGGAAAAGGTGCTGGTGTGGCTCCTGAAGGTGGTCACGGGAATCCTTTTAATGATTTTCCAGTTTTTCTCCCCGCGGAGACCCGATGAGACCGAGAGGAAGCTCCCGCCCGTCAGTAACCCGCTGCTGCTCTTGTCAGCGATGCAGCTCGCTAAGAAGATCCGAAGAAAAGAGGTGCGTAACGTTACTCGACCATTTGACAGCCGCGGCTAGACAGAGGGGCTGTGGCTTCAAGCTAATAAATAAACACCTGTCTGTGACTATTTCGCATAGTTTATACTCAAGAGTTAATAAGCGGTTAGCTAATTATGTGTACGTGTAGATGGTCAGTAAATGGTCGCGTTTGGTGAATTTCTTTTCCTCAGTGTCTTGTTATTAATTGCAAACCTTATTATAGCCAGAGCCAGCTGAGCCTCTGGGCCGCTCTCTAGCGATCGTTTCCCTGCAGTTTTAATGTTTTCATATCTACAAGCCCTGAAGGCGACACTCAACACATGAGGACCGAACACCTGTGCTTCCGTATACTTGACTTAGACTAATCCATCTGTGAGCGAGGAAAACTCCAAATGTCTATACCACTGGTCAGTCCTTATGACACTATGGTCACCTCGGTGTGTCGGCCAGAACACCACTTAAGGCCCATACATTCCCAGAATGAATCAGGTGCTTGAGGTTGCAGTTAACGATCCTTTAATCCAATTTCTCATACAAAGATTACATGTGGATGTGGTTTTTCTGCACATAATATAGATACAAATACAATGAATAAGGATTTAAGATATATGCACATTATAAACACGTTACCGTATGCATAAGTATAGTACATATTAACGTAAGGCTGGATGAGCAAAGTATACAGAGATCTGTTAAGTGTAAACTAATTCGAAATTAAGTTACCACACATGCTTAAGGAACACATCCTGTATCGGTTACAAACAAACCAAATGCTCTTATTGTGAAGGTCTAACCGGATATAGCACTCCCGGTGGAGTCACAACCCCCGTTTAGCGGTATAGGGAACGAACCTGTCTTTAGCGTCGTAACATACAATATATATTCACAGAAACACCATGCAGTTTATAAACACACTGGTAATTTAAACAGTGAAACTGTAAACGCACTATGAACCGTGCACAAGAGAAAACAGATCCTAGGTCGAGCCAAATCATTCAACTAAGAGGCATACATGAAACGAAAGGATGTGCATAGCGAGAATAACAAGGTTAGCGACGTGCACTATTAATGAACACTTTACCAGTTATCACATACAACCGGTTCCCCATAACCCTTAAAGGGCCCATAACTGATAATACTTACATAGTATTAACGCACAACCACTTTTCTCCATCACTAAGTAGACAAGCACCACTCGACATCCATACTACGCCCCAGTGGAAGTGACGTCAATAGGCTACATCATGCTTCAACTTAAAGGGCCCTGACCTAGGAAAGTAACCACTACAGTATAAACTTTGGGCCTTTTTTACACCATCAGTCAGATGGAAAAAGACTATATATGAATATGTATGAAAAATATTATGGCATTTAATAGATATTTTTTTAAGCTGAATCCGTGGGAAATAACTTATTTTCGTCTCCCTTTGTAACAGCAAACCTGTTCCACATTTAACATGGAGCAATGCACTGCCTCGACTTTTTTTTTTTTTACCTCTGGCAGCTAGGCTTGTTCATCTACTGTGGCTCTCTGTTCTGTGCGTAAATAATCCTAACATGCACTTCTGTGCAGGTGTCTAGCGTGGAGGTGGTGCAGGCTTACGTCGACAGGATTCAGGAAGTCAACCCTTTGGTGAACGCGGTTGTCAAAGACAGGCAAGAAATAATCTTTCCTTATTACCTGATGGAGAATTTTTTTAAAGCAAAAATGCCAAACAGTTGCTGTTTCCAGATTCTCAAATGTGAGGATTTGATGCTTTTGTTTTCTGTCTGTACATAATAGTAAACTGCAAATCTCTGGGTTTCATACTGTTGGTCAAATCAGGAATTAATCAGAATTTGATTAAATCATTTCTTTTTCTGTCCAGGTTTGCCGCTGCCCTCCAGGAGGCGGCCCAGGTTGATAAACTGATCGAGGAGGAAACTGGAGGAGAGGAGGTGCTGGAGGACCGACTGCCTTTACTGGGTGTCCCACTGTCTGTCAAAGAGGCCTTTGCCCTCCAGGGTAACATCAGTAGAAATTTGTATTTTTAGCAAATAAGAATGTGATTTTATTCAGTGCTGCAGGTGAGTGTTTGATATGTGTGTTGTGTAGGCATGCCCTTTACCACAGGGCTGATCTCCAGACGAGGCGTCGTGGCCACCGTCGACGCTCCACCGGTGGCCCTGCTGAAGAGAGCGGGGGCCATACCGCTGGGCGTCACCAACACCAGTGAGCTGTGCATGTGGTTAGAGTCCCACAACCACCTGTACGGCATCACCAAGAACCCGTACAACCTGGAGAGGATACCGGGGGGAAGCTCAGGTTAGTGACTGTTGGTTTGACTGTTGCATGGCCAGTTGAAGGAACCACTTCTTCAGATGCTGTTGTTGACGTAGGATCAGAATCAACACACACTTTTTGAAAACAGTTTCCTGCTGCAGTCAGTCTCTTTGTCTCTGGGTAGAGCATTGGTTTTGCCTCAATCATATCACAGTACACTGCAGACACACAAACAGATTCTCTGGTTCATTAATGGGAGACGCCATTAATGTAACCAATCTGGTCCTCTGAAAAATTGAATACAGAATAACTGTTGTTAATGTTGTAGTAGCCTCTGTCACTGAGAAGATGGACAGCAGCTGTCAGCTCAAAAGGTCCTGACCTGGCTGCCAGATCCACCCACTTATCTCTCCTCTTCCCCTGGCGGGCTCAGGTGGAGAGGGCAGTCTACTGGGAGCAGCTGGTTCAGTCATTGGCATTGGTGCAGACATCGGCGGCAGCATCCGGATGCCCTGTTTCTTCAATGGTGTATTTGGCCATAAGACCACTCCTGGTAAGAGGAAATTGCTGTTACGTTTACACATTGCTAACAGATCAGCGCGTTGTGTTCTCAGCTTGTTTCTACTGTCCCACATTTAACAAACTTATTTATACAGTAGCTCAAACTGCACTGTAACAGTGATGCGTTTCTGCAGGGGTCGTGTCCTGTGAGAACCAGCACCCTAATTTCTCTGGCAGACAGGAGGAGTACCTCAGCACTGGTCCCATGTGCCGCTATGCTGAGGACTTGCTGCCCATGCTCAAGATCATGGCGGGACCCAACGCTAACATGTGAGAACTGTCCCAGTGTCTGTTCTCATAAACCTTATTTAACTCAGACGGATATTAGCGCACATACGCTTTCCTTCTGCACACAGTTATGTTGCAAGAACTGCTGTGAGATTTGCCTGTCCTTTTTTAAAAGCTTGTATAATCATTGATGTAAATATGACAATCAGGAAGCACATGCACACTCAATTTTATCACAGGTGTTTGGCAGCACAAACCTGCACACAGAATCCCCACATGCTACTTCCACTATCCTAGTTCTTTTTATGCAACATGGACGTGATAATGGGCGGAGTGCAAGAACCTGAACTGGAACAACCTGCTGTAAATCAGTGTTTCACTTATAAATTGTCTTGTCCAGGTTAAAGTGATGGTGTCAGGGGAACTGTAGGCAAATATGACAGTCACAAACGTAAACGCATTTGCTTACTTGTGTTGGCAGGCTGTCCTTAAACACGAAGGTCGACCTAAAAAAGCTGCGGTTCTTCAGCATCCCTCACGCTGGCAGCAATCCCCTGTTGAGCCCCGTCAGCAAAGAGCTCCTTGACATTCAGAGGAAGGTGCGTTGAAGCCGTCAGTCAAATAAGTTAGGAGTCTGGAAACCTGGGGATGTCAGGAAGGTGTTAATACTTGACACAATCATGTGATGTTGTCCAGGTGGTGGCGCGTCTGGAGGCTGACCTTGGTGTGAAAGTCCAAGAAGTGCGTTTCCCAGAGCTCCGCTATAGCTTTCAGATCTGGGACACTTACATGGGCCTCCCTGACTATGAGGGCAAAGTAAGTCCACCTGACAACCTGACCCAGAGCAGTGTCCTCTCATGAGTGTTTTCCTTAGTGTTCCTGGTGAAGATTAAATGGGAGAGTCAGGAGGAAAACGGGCATTAGTTCCTCTGCCAGACTCTGTGTCCATGTCACAGTGAGAGAAAGCAGGCTAAGTCTGAGTCACTGCACCCATTGTAGTCTGCTGCCCAGAAATGGCTCACTAATCTGTTTGGCTGCCAGGCCACAGCATACCACATACAAACACACACCCATGTTTCCATTGCTTCAGAGGACTTCACACTGATTTACATTCATTTCCTGAGACACAGCCCAACCATAACTCTCACCCCGACCTGAAAACGCCTGCACAGTAAAAACTGCATTGTTCTCGTCCACACTCTGGCTGTGTAAACTGACTTGCACTCCCTGACAAAAGTCTTGTCACCTATCCAAGTTGTAGGAACAACAAATAACTTTACTTCTAGTTGATAATTTGGAATCAGAAGTGGCTTATATGAAAGGCAAAGGCTTCTAGATTATGCTTATTTTACCAAAATAAAATCTTATCATTCCTTGATTTTTAATTAGGACAGAAAGGTCAGACTTTGCTTAGACAAAAGTCTTGTCGCATAACAAAATAATGTATAGTACAGAACATAAAGTCATGGTGCTGTGGAAAAAGAATTAATATCATGTATGACTCCCATGAGCTTGGAGGACTGCATCCATACGTCTCAGCAATGACTTAAATAACTTATTAATGAAGTCATCTGGAATAGCAAAGCATTCTTGCAGGACTCCCAGAGTTCATCAAGATTTGGTTTCATCTTCAATGCCTCTTCCTTCAGCTTACCCCAGACATGCTCAATAATGTTCATGTCTGACTGGGCTGGCCAATCCTGGAGCACCTTGACCTTCTTTGCTTTCAGGAACTTTGATGTGGAGGCTGAAAAATGAGAAGGAGCACCATCCTGAAAAAAATTTGCCCTCTCTTGTGGTTTGGAATGTAACGGGCAGCAAGAATGTCTTGATACTTCAGGCTGTTGATGTTGCCATCCACTCTGCAGATCTCTCGCACGCCCCCGTACTGAATGTAACTGCAAACCATGATCTTACCTCCACTGAACTTGACTGTTTTCTGAGTGAATCTTGGGTCCATGCGGGTTCCAATAGGTCTTCTGTAGTATTTGTGATGATTGGGATGCAGGTCAATAGAGGATTCATTGGAAAAAATATACTTTCTGCCACTTTTCCACTGTCCATCCTTCCTGCAAGCTGTGGGCCTTGGCAAATGCAACACGATTTTTTTAGTTGTTTTCTGTTTAATGCTGGTTTCTGAGCACTAATTCGGCCATTGAGACCACTGCGTGAGAGAATTTGACAAACTGTTCTTGTAGATACAGGGGTTTCTGGTGACCAGTTTTTATGTAGCTCTGCTGCAGTTGAAAAAGGGCTGGACCTGGACTGTCGAAGCAACAAACAGTCCTCTCGAACAGTTGTCTTACGGGTCTGCCTGTCATGAACTTCACCGGTTTCGTCATATCTTTTTCTTATCCTCTCCACTTGATGTTTAGATACATTAAAGATGTCTGCCACCTCAGCAGGAGACTTGGTCTTCAGGCTCTTGATGATCAGCACTTTGGTCTGTGGTTTAATCTTTTGCATGCTGTTAGAGGTCAGGTTGCATTTCAGATGAAGGTTGGGTGTGCTGGCGTTCTTCCTATACACACCTGGGGAATGTGTTAATTACAGTATTTGTCACAGGTGACGCTCTAATCTGTGATTGGTTGAATCCTTTAAAGATATGGCAAGACTTTTGTCCTTGCAGCAACAGAACTTATGGGCTTTACCAAGCTGTGAACATCAGGACACTTTTTGATGGTTTCATTTTGCACCCAGTTGTTAATGTGAATGCCCTTGACATTAAAATTAACAATTTATTGTGACAATTGAATGATTAGAAATAAAGTTGACATTTTAGGTCACTATGTCCTTATAGGACAAGACTTTTGTCAGGGAGTGTATGTCCCCATAAAACGAGTAAAACGCACACTGTTCTCTGAGGACTTCCAGTTCATCTGATGTGATTATTACCACTGTGCCATTACATAACCTATTCACAACACTGTTGTATGCATCTTTATTTTACTGCAAATTTATATTCAGTTTAAGACTTGAGTGCGTTGGGTAAAAGTACTTGCAATTTACGTAGTGTTTCAATTTCATACTATGTTGTATTTGTACTCTGCTACTGATCAGAGAAATGCTGTACTTCTGACTTTTCTTCAAAGAGCAAAAATTCATTCGTAGTTCATAAAACACAAAGTCCAAAAACTATAAATGTATGCAACAGAACTGTCATTAATCATCTCACAGGCTCTCTGATGGGCCCAAGCCCTTGGTCGCTAGCCACTCAACTACACCACCTAATGGTATATGAGGTAGTTGTACTGTACTTTTCACAGTCAATAAAATAGTGACAATACTGCTGGCACTCAAAGATTATAGCGACACATAACGACTTTGAGTCCTTATTTATATTTGACTCAAGTGGGCTTTACCATTTTATTGCCTCTGCACTACTGTAAAATCACTTGTAAATCAAAGCTTGGTGTTGTAATAACAGGCTATATAGAGTATGGAGCCTTAACATAGGTTAGTGTTACCAGCGTGATCAACAGATAACACAGTGCTGTGTCCAGCGAACACACAGTGTGAACTTTGTGACCTGAGAAACAACAACATACCTGGTTTGCTTCCTTCCTTTAGCCTATTGTGCCATTTGCTACACTGATGGGGGATTCGGGACCACCCAAGTGGCCTCTGTGGGAGCTGCTGAAACGGATGATGGGAAAATCAGATCATACCATGCCTGCCATTTGTAAGAAGAAAAAACAATTGCTAACTGGTTTTGATCAGTTTTGGCTTCATTTTTACTTGTTACTGGTTTTTAAGCATCTTCACTCAAGTTGTAGTTGGTGCAAACAATATGCATTATTGTTAACATAACACCCTGACAATCACAGTAAACAGGTTCCAACAGCGTGAAGGCAGCTGCAACTACAAAACACTGTTTTATTAAAAATAGTACTTGATTATACAAAAATATGGTTTAGATAAGTAAAAACGTTCAGCACAAAGGAGCAGGTCAGCTGGAAACCATTCACTCACACTGTAAAACATTAAATTAAAAGGAACACATCAACCTAGTGCGGTTACTCACAACCCACATTCTACACCCAGCAGCTCTCAAGAGCCTGAGGTTTTAAACAAGACATCCAAACCAAACCCCCAAGGCAGCGATCCACTAGCAGCAGATCCCTGAACAAATTTCCCCAAAGCCTTGTACACGAACACTGACAAAGGCTCTTTATACAGCGGTCCATTAGCATAGACTGCAAACATCAAGGCATGACGCCTCAGACACTGGGCTCTCACCACAGTGGTTCGGTGTTCACCTTCGCCCCGTTGACGTTTAGGTAACTCCCCTCTGTTTCTTCCCTCACAGTGAACTCGTGTCTGATTCAGCTCCCTAACAGCTTTTTCAACATGTTGCACAACGAGCAACATATTGAAAACATGACAAACAGTAGTTCACCAACAGGCTCCCTTTATCACCCAGTCACTGCTTGCACAAAGGATCACATGAACCACAAAAAGAAACCGCCAGTAATAAATTTAGGAAAAAATAAACCACTGTAGCTTCATGAAGGATGAGATGAAAGCTGTAACTGAACTGAACTCTGTGTGATATTTTCAGTAGTGGGTCTGATGGAGATGATTAAGCCATCCAAACCCTCAGCCTTCATCATCCAGCAGAAGGAGAAGCTGCAGAAGGAGGTGGAGGAGCTGCTGGGAACCGACGGCGTTTTCTTTTACCCATCTCACACCAGAGTGGCACCCAGACACCACCACCCCCTCTTTAGAATATATGACTTTGCCTATACTGGTCAGTGATCTACAACTCATTTCTGCAGTCAAACACCAAAGTAGAAGCAAAAATGAGTTCTGAAAAACCTTTTTCAACAAGCTGTAACTTGATTTGTGTGATTTTTGTAGATTGCCAACTCACACAGTTTGAAATTTACAAACCACAGTCATCAATATTGAAGTTTAGACTTTATTTTTCAGCTTCCACTCTGCTTAAAGGTTGACAGTGCCAGTTGGTTGTTTACTGGGTCACACCACAATTTATTTTAAACAAGCAGATTGGCTATTAAGTCAAAGCTGGATGGGCCGTAGCAGTGGCATTATTTTGCATTTTTATGGCAACAACCAAATCTGCAGCTTTTTAGCAAGGTCCATTCCAGTGTTTGGTTCTGTCCTGCTGCTCTGTGTTCTGGGCTGCAGCAGACCGGTGTGTATACACTACCTGCTTGGCTCCAGTCTTACCTTTTATTTCCACCCATCCTTCTCTATCCACAGGTATAATCAACATCCTTGGGCTGCCAGTTACACAGTGCCCACTGGGTCTGGGTGAGGAAGGTCTGCCCCTGGGTGTGCAGGTCGTTGCGGGGAAGTTGCAGGACCATCTGACCCTGGCTGTGGCTCTCTACCTGGAGAAGGCGTTTGGAGGCTGGAGGGACCCCGGAGCCAAATAGAAGCACACGGTCACAGCCGTTAGCAAACCTCCAGAGCGGCCCTGGTTGGATTAAAGATTGCAGTACACTATCTGCTTTGTTGCTTGCTGTAGCACACAGTCAACAAGAGGTACAATCAGTGCATTGAATGTTCAAGTGGAAGAGACCAATTTTGCATGAATGAAAGCTCAGCCATTCCAACAATTCTCAGTCGTGGTTTTATCATTTACCCTGTTCGTTATGCCCTGAGCACAAGCTTTAAAAATTTGCTCTCTTTTATTTGAACACACACATTATCGTGGCAAAACATGGACTCTGTAGATGCCGGCAGAGGCCGGACACCTTAAGCACTTCTACTTTACAGCTTTAATTTTACCTCATTTTTGGACCGACAGCTGCAAGGTTACATACAGTCAGCTGGAAGGTTCACCTCACTAAAACTAATGCAGTGCAACAACAGTCCTGTTATAAATCCTGCTTTATGAAGGTGATTCTTGTTTTTCAGCTGTGATGATTGTTGAGGATGTAGTTTGTGCTGCTGCTGAACTGTACTGCATTACACAGAGATGTTATTTAACCTAGCCTCATTGGTGTGGACAAAATAATTGAAACCCATGCGAGTATAATGCAACAGTAACAGCAGCACAAACCTTTTCTCTGTGAAACTGTTTAAACAAATCCAAAGAGGTCAGTTGAACTAGAGGGCATGAGTTTTAGGTTGTGCACTCAGTAACCAGACAGCTGTGTGTGTGCAGTAGACCTAATGTTGCCATTTTAAATCTCAAGAGGCCAGTACATGAAAGGTTCAAGGTTGTAAATACGCTGCACGCGCACGCGCGCGCACACACACACACACACAAAAAAGGTACATGCAAGTAGACCTCTGCTCAGATTCAGGTGAAGCTAAGCTAGAAGGTTGCTGTTGTTACCCGACTCCATATACATTAAAGAATAATCAAAGTGTGATTTGTCCAGGACAGACAGGTCCAACTGTTCTAGGCAGATGACAGTCAAACACAATGTTGAGCAAGTCTAATCAGTCAGAATACAAGACACCCATGTATCAGTGGGCAGGGCCTCTAACTACTTACTACTGATTTATCACAGAGTCAATATAACAGTTAATGTTAAAGGAAGCAGACTTACTCAACAGTACTGTACAACAAGAATGTTTTAACACTAACAAAATGTACAAAACCTTTGTTGCACAATATTGTGAATGTTGCATAACGGCAGTTAATTGATAGTGATGCTTGTTTTCTGCTGCAACTTGTTTGAATAATAAAAAAAAAAGTCTGGACCTTTTCTCTCATAGACTCTCTCTCTCATAGACTAATCTTTGCAGCAGGTTTGAGGCACACTCCCAAGTCAAAAGGCTACTGACTGACTGGTGAAACAGATCAGCTCACAACCTCTTCAGTGTACAAAAAAAAACAAGTGTTTGAGAGCGACTCAGTATACCTTCAATCTGAGAGAGACTTAACAAGTCAAATCTGAAAACTGCCTGTCATACCCTAAAAGATAATCCAGATCAAGGATTTTAGGACACATTTTGTGTTCTGGATATCATTTTTCACAAGCGACCCATTTGCATGAGCGAATGTTGTGCCTTGGCGGAGGTACATGCACACTTGTCTTTTCTATGTAAACCATTTGTAAGGGACAATTTCTTGGTTGAACCGTTTCCTTGAAATGCACGAGGTAAAAAGGTGAGCACAATGATCCTTCCCTATACTGGAGGACAACAGGTTTTCCTGGTTTTCAACCACAAAGACGAACCCAGTCCCATTTAAGCTTCATGTTGTCAAGTATCCGCTCCACTGCACAAGAATTCAGTGATTGGCTACAAGAAAGAACAAAGATGAGAAGTGTCCCTCTGGGATCTGTCACTTTATTTTCTTCCTCTGAAAAAAGATGAAAAGTTATTAAACATCTACTAGGAGCCTCCAAACAGAACTTGACAGCACAGAACTATTGAGCTTTTTGTCACCTCAATGATGACGGTCATTATTGTTCCATAATCTGTCACAACCCATGATTCTGTTCTGAAAGGTGGAAACTGTTGCCAGTGTCACATTCATACAGAAAAATACAGACAGCTCACTTTCTCTTCTTGGTAGACACGCCACATGGTTGTGCCTCAGTAAAAATGTTGAAAGGTTCCGGTTGTGAGAATAAGGCCTCCGCTCAGACTCAAACGCTGTCACCCCCCTGACCCAGCATCATTCAGGAATAGGAGGCGACGTTAAAAAAAAAAAGAAACAGTAAAAAGGGTATGTGGGCTGCCGCCCCCCTCCAAAAAAAATTTGTATAAAGAATCCTGGATACTGGTGGTGCAGGAAAAGGTAGGACCTTTCTCTCCTTGATCTCTCATCCTCCCAGTGTTTGATTTGGCCCTAATGTGTATGCAAATACTTCTGTGTGTGCGTGTGTGGAGCGGATATGACATTTTGGGCGAGTGAAGTGCCTCAGGAGGTGCTGGTGATGGGTTTGTACTTCTTGAGGCGGGTCCACTGTCCTGTGGAGTAGTTCATTTCGAAGACTGTGTCCACCAGCATGGTGGTGCTGCCGGTGCCATCGGCTTTGGGCAAAATCTCTGTGTGTTCGCTCAGCTTGATCTGGATGATGTCCCCCTGCTCCGGACATGGGTTTTCTGTGAGAGACAGGAGTAAGCACGCTGGTTGTTACTGCCTGTACCAGGTTTTTAAGTGGTAAGGAATCATAAGCTACATTCTGACTGTAGTGACTATATATTACTAATTTGAAGAGGACCACCTGAATGAAACAAATACATGTCAGTTTTATTCCTCAAACTACTAAAAAGACTTGCCAAAGTGGGTGCATGCAGGGGATAACCTTCCCTACCCTATAAAAATGGTCCTATGTTCCCATATACCCACTTGGACTTAGTGATATTACTGTTTCTCATTTTCCTACAGATATTTCTTTACAGAAACACCCTAAAGTGAATCTGCTACTGTATGTGCAAGATTACACCTTTGCTGCCTCTAAAAAACTGGTGTGCATTGCAAAAAGCAACTGAAAAGCAGCATTCACCATGTTTGCCTTGGAATTTGAAGTCCGTAACCATCTGATGTGCGAGGACACTGTCAGTCCAGCTAAACTCACGTGTGTACTTTATCTTGATTAGGAACATTTTTACCTTGGCCATATTTATTCTTCATTTTAATTTTGTGATGACAAGTATTTGCTAAGAAACTATTCATTCTGGAAACAACAAGAAAACCGGGGATAACAAAAGGGAGGCTATTTTGCATATTTTACTAAGGCAGAAAACTGAGTGTTCATTTATTTACATTCATACCCCACGGTATGTATCAAGATTAATCGCATACCCCTGGATCCAGCCATGAAGCCCAGAATGAGGGCCTTCTCTGGTCTGGTGACCTTGTTGGCCGTCTTGAACATTTCTTGGGCAGCATACATCTGGTCTCTCTGGGGAGCAAAAACAGCATGTGGCAGATAATTTAGCTGGCTGAGAACAACACAGAGCTTTAATATTACATCCAAGGAAATGGACAGACTCCATAATACTGAAGTCTTAGGAGGAGGATCTGTATCCAGAGACAGTTGCCATGTAAAGCACCCAGGGTGTTTTTGGACACCTTACCGTGAGTGAGAGATTCTTTTTGGGTTGGGGTTGTGGTGGTGTAGGGGTTGGTGTCGGGGTGGGGGTCTGAGGTGTGCTGGGAGGCTGGGTGGGGGTCTCTGGCTGGCTGGCAGTCGCAGCTGCTGGGGGCCCATTGCTGGCTGGGGTGGAGGCCGGCGTGCTGGGGGATGTGGGGGTTGCAGGGTTCGCTGTGGTGCTTGCGTTGTACATAGGCGTCCTCTGTTTGTACTGGCCCGGTAAGGTGGCGGTGGCACCTGCTGTTGCCGACTCCTCTGGTTGTCGGGCAGACTGAAGCGTTTCCCGACCCACACCACCGGCATTTGCTTTGATGTAGAAAAGAAAAATGTTCTTTACCTTTTTGAAATACAAAGTGTAGGCAAGTACTGTACTGAGCCCTGGCTACAAGGGAATGGTTGCGCAAACAAGGAAAATGAGCAGAGGAGTATGGTCTAACCGGGCTGTGCCTCTGAACTGGGAATGTAAGAGGAAGAGGGAACCATGCTGGGTGTGGCTGGCAGGTAACTGGTTGAAGGCAGAGGGTTCTCATTCAGCGTCCCAAGTTTCTGAAAAACAAAACGGTGAGCATTTTTATAAAAATTGGTTGATACACATAGAAGAATGAAAGATATGACAGACAAAAGAAAACAGGAAAGTGTGTGACAGAGAAAGAAACGTGTAGTTGAGTACCTGCGCAGAAACAAGGCCGGCAGCGTAGTCAGGGGTGGTGTTTTCCACCACAGCTTCTTCTTTAGCTGCTTTCTCTCCGGCCTCTGTGTCTACAACAGAAAAAAAAAAAAAAAAACACCATCAGCACCAGAGTAATAAAACATCTTGACTAACCAGTTCATGGTAAATCGATAGAACTTGGACTGACAAAGGACTGGAAAATAATTACCCAGAGTCTTTCTTCTCCTCTTAGCCTCTCTTCCAGCTCCCACCATGTCCAGCTCTGAAATATCCAACAGCTAAAAAGGAGAAGAAAAGCACCAATGTTGAGAAAATCTGATCCACAAATTCACAGATCCTGCCGAAACTGAATAAAAAAAAAACAAAACAATCACATTAACAACAATGTAAAAGTGGCACATAAAAGGACATTACCTTGACCCCCCTCTCCTTACGCAGGGGTGTCCGTGCAGGAGCAATAGGTGTGCGGTTACTGGGAGGGCTGAATAGACTGGGGGCAGTGGGGCTGCGGAATGGTGCCTTAGGAATCCCCTTGAGAGGTGCTGTGATGCAAATATTCATGCATAGGTCAGCAGCAGTGAAGAAGTCAGAATAGAAAGTTTCTTGGTGATTGCAGAATAATTTCTTGTAGCAAATATTACAAAAAATGTCAGACTTGGATTGCCAAAATGAAACACCGACAACCTAGGGTGCTGTTTTTTTAAACCCCAAATTAACACAAAAATAAGTGTGTTTATTTATTTCATCTCACTAGTAGTGTCAATCTTTTTGACCAATCCCCTCCCTTTGGCGTGAAAAGGCACTCCGGCTGTCTTCTTCAGCTGCTGGGCTGTCTCGGTGGCTGAAACAGAAAGTAATTTTAAAAATTTTAAGCTGGACATGAGGCAGAGGGAACCCCAACCAGCTCTCTGAGACAGTGAATGTGTAAACAAACACTGATATAATGAATAATCAACATATACATAGATTTCTTTGACCTTGTATGCAAAGCCTCCGTCACACTGGCAGGCTGTATCAGATGAATTTTAGAATAACTCACATTTCTGTAGCAGCTCTGCTCTGAGGGTTGCGCTCTTTGGTTTCCTCTTCAGCTGGAAATGTTTGACAGGGGGTGTGAGGGGTCCCACCAGAGTGGTTAACGCACTCTTGTTCAGATACTGGCACTCCAGAGGAAGCATGGCAGATGCCTCACACTCACTCACTGAGGAGGAGAGGACAAAAAGAGATGAAGGTCAGCTGGAAAACAGCTTTGCAAACTTATCAAAAGCTTTCTGAATGAAAATCTATCATGCAGCGGCTAAAATAGGTTCTTTCCCGTTCTAAAATATAAAGCAACACATTTTTATGAATATTCAGGAGGACAAATTAAGACGGTGAGGGATGAACTACCTATCCTGCTACATATATATATTGTGTGCAGTTTTAAAAACATTTTTCAACAGCTGGTCGTCACAACATAAGCATGAAACCACCAAATGTGACACGGAGAACTCATTATAAAGTCAAACACTTAAAGCATAGTGACAATACAGCTCTGAGTGATTAGCAAAGTGAATTATAACAGACACATTAAAAAAGGTGTTTTAAAACCTAATGAAAGTGGCTGACTGCGAGGATAAAGCCCCAGGTCAGAAAACAGCAGCTTTACATGCCGTCACTACTCCTGGTGTGTACATACAGTGTATGGCATGAGCCTAATAAGGATATGTTATACTATGTTGGCTGCAGAGATCAAGTCACTGATTCAAAAATAAATCATGGTTCAGTCCCATAACAATCCTTGTAATTTATGTAGGATTAAATCTTAAACAAAACATTGTCCCTGACCTTAAAATTAAAAGGCACATGTTGAATTCCATTTTGTTTACATTTGGTGATTCTCACTAATACACCATGTATGTTTAATGGGTGTTATAACAAGTGATGAACTTCCCACACCCATCAGATAAACTATGCACTGTTTAATGTTGGTTAACCAACCATGAGTTGGCAGTACTTTTACCAGAGCAGTATTGTTTAAATTAATTTGCCAATTCCCACATTAGACATTCATTCAAACTGTATTTATTTAAAAAGTTTCACAAAACTGCAGGAGACAAACAGACATGACAAACAGTGTGGCTTTCATTTAAAATCTACTATTCCACTCAGAGACCATTGTGGTGGGATCTACATTCATAAATCAGTGCAAGTACAGTACTAATTTGACTATTTTAAGTGTACATGCAACATCCTATTCTTTTCAAGCAAGGCTTATGGCGAGTTGCTGTGCCATTATATTTACATTTTTATACATATGGGGTCAAGCAGCAGTTGGTGAGGGGCCACCACAGCTACATTAGAAACTCATTCCCTACCTTTCTCCCTGAGCTCTCCCAGAATATCCTGCACATTTGGATTCTGCTCCTCCAAGTCCAGATTGAGAGAGCCAGTCTCTGGGAAGGACTTGAGTATGTCTGCAACCATCAGCACCCAGGGCTCTGAGTCCACTGTAGCAAGCTGGATTATTTCTGACAGGGCCTCCTTCATCTGGCAAGAGAGGAAAATGGTGGTAGTGAAACACTAAATGTGTTATCCTGCCAGATGGGTTGATGAATGCTTAATAACTTAATACCATTTTTAAAAACTATTTAACCACCCCAGTGATTTTTTAAAATCTGCACTGTAAAAATTGTCTTTGACTCGTTCTCTGTTGTTTTTATCCCCATTACTAATGTTGAATGCTTGCTGGATTTCTACACAGTTAATGTCTAAAACAACTAAAAAAATGTTTATTGTACTGCAAAGTAAAGTGGGATTACATAACAAGGTGCATGAACTATGAACATGGTGCAGAACCTTTAAACTTTGTTTAAATATGGCATAATCACATACTGTAATATTTTATGATTAGTTCTCTTAAAAACTATATTCTACAAAAGAGTAGCTAAAACTGTCTCCACTTCGACTAGCTACACTTGAGTGATCCATCAGTACTAATACAAAAATACACCTTATGTTGAGTACTTTATACACATTCTCCTACAGGTCTTTTTCTTGTAATGTAATACGTGTATGCAACTACTTTTACTTGAATAAAACATCGCAATACTTCTTTCACCACTGGACACAGTTATTTGTTCCTGAATATGTAACAAACTGATTGATGGTGGGTGTCCAACGTTTTAGACAGCCAGACAAGTGATACTTGGGAGCATAGCTAGCACCGCCCTCCAGCTCAGTCAGATAGCTTTCTGTGACCATCCCACCATAATGTCCGTACGACAACCGCTAGGCTAACGTTACCTGCTGTCACCGTTACGCCACTACTGAAAAACAAAATTATGTGTTAAGGATAAGATAGTCGCGTGGCAGCCTGACGTGAACGCAAATGTGCAAAGCTGATGTTCTTTTGAAACTGAGGTAAAACTGCAGGTTAAATCACAGGGCTCACTACTTCCTGCCTCTTACGTTAGCTATTAATATTAACCACCGCCAGTAGTTGAAAATAGCAAGCTAATGCTAAATGATAAATTTAACAGCGTTGTTAGATTTTTGACAAGTGATGTAAGAACACTAAGGAAGAGCAGTGTTTTGAATTAGAGCAACTAGCCGGAGAATGAGCTCTTTACTTATGTGTTCATCTAAGTTAATAGCTTACCTTACCTGTCAGGGTAACAACTAGCTAGCTAGCTAACGCTCAGCAGCAACCCACCTCGTCAATGGTCCGCCTAGGAAGATGCAGCATCCCGAGCAGAAGTTTCAGCTTCACCGGCGGCGATAAGCTCGAAAAGCACAGTCGTATATTGTCAATGACAGACACGGTGAGGAGAGAAGCAATGCTCGGAGGCGTCCAGAGCTCGTCCGTGGATCCCAGCTTGTTATGAAGCCACAGGCCGGTATCGCTGTCCTTCATCGACGCCATCTTGGAAAAAGAAGTGTTTTGTGTTCGGGCATTTTAACGGGCTACCTAAGAAAACAGCAGTCAGGACCCCGCCCACACCGGACTGGATTGGCATTTATCTACAATGAACCAATGACAAATATAAAATAAAAACAGGTGTTTTTTTTACCTTTAATACTGTGCCCACATATCTGGTTTGATGGGTTTTATTTGTTTATTTGTTCATATGTTGTCTGTACTGTTTTGTTAATAAAATCTACAAGTTAGGCGCATTTCACTTTACAAATGAAACTGTCTATGAGAAAAACTGACAGTAAAGTCCACATTGTTTATTTTTACCCATTTCGTGATTTTAAAAATGATTGACTAATGTATTGCATACAGAATCTATTCCATATTCTTTACACAACAAACTGTTGTACTACTTGAACATGTGACACTAACGTGGCCCCCCAGAGCCTCAGCTACTCCAAAAGCCAGGGCTGCAGCTGGTAATTTTATGAATTGATTAATTTAATTTTAAAACATTCCCTTGTGAAGCAGAATATCAACTAATGTGAGATGCAAGGTTGTACTTTATTATTTAGAGACCCTCCCTAGAAGAGGTATTGGCCGAGCACATAAAATGTGGTTAGATTTTCATTTTCTTCTAAATAGTTAATTATAATTTCTGGATGTCTCAAAACATTACAACAATAGGAATTCATGTAGATATATCTGCTGTTATAAAATATCTAGATTTTATCTGCTCAATATATATTATGATCATTAAAATAAGTATTGGAATCTATTTTTCGAATAAAAATAGCATCACTGCATTGTAAATATACAACCACTCATTTTTACTTCAGTACAAAATTGCCACGAATGTTAATAATCACTTATTAAATGAACTTTGATCCAGATGACCTGCAGCCCCTTTCCAGAATATAATGGGATCAAGCAGCTCATTGGGGAAGTCTCCCTAATAAATTAGAGTTCCATTAAAGGCAGGCAGTGTCATGCTAGAGGAAATCTGGCACCCAAAAAGTTCTCCTTAAATAACGGATCTATAATGCATTAGTATCCTAAATAATTTAATAACTATCCCTTACAGTTTCTAAAAGCCTATAAGTTGTAGCTAAAAGAAAGATTTCCTTTTATAAATCTAGACCGTGAATAGATTAATTGCACGTTCTTTAATGTTTTTATTTTGAATGTTGTCACCGGAAGTCTTGACTCCGGTTTGCCAAACTAAACTAGATTAGCCTCACGCATGCGCGCCACGTTAATCTATAGAAAACCATCACAACGCTCGGTGGGCATCTTGCGCTGGCCTGGTGTTCTGCAAATTATCATCGGCTGATTAACGGTGGGTTCACATACAGCTTCACAAACAGACATGAATGCTTCTTCTGTGCTTTTAGGTACAAACAATATAGAATTATTCATCGATTAAAACTGGACTATAGTCTAAACAAAGCCCGTTGGGTTTGTGATTTCTTTGAACGCACGGTCGTTTAGGACATTTTCCTGTTTTGTATTTATGCAGACAGCACCAGCAAATTTCGGTCTCCGCACTAAAGGTAAGTGATCGCATCCTCGCCATGGCATCCAGCGGATTTCTGCAGGCAGCGGTGCTCCTCCTGGCGGTCCAGCTCCTCTGTGTCGGTGCAGCTGAGGCGGATCAGGAGACCGGGACTGTCATTCCTGCCGAAAGTAGGTGGATTCACATATGAGCTTGGGCTTTTTCTGCCTGTTCTGTGCAGTTTGTTAATGGCTGTCAGGTGTAAATAGGTCTGCCACAGCGCTATTTTTACACTGTCAAGGTCCTCGCAGGGGTTTCTGAGTGGGAATAGGGTCATGTTAATTAGTAGATACATCACAAAATGAAACTGGGCCTGCACTGCTATTCTGAGACATATTTTATTATCTCTACTAGGTTTAACCAAGGAAGAGGCTTTAAGGAAAATACCTATAATTATGTTTTACAGCTGCTGTAGCTGATTTCTGAAAGCCTGTTCCTGTTTTCGACCCTTTTCACATGGAAAATCTGATCTGTTTTAACATTTATTCAGACTCTCTTTAAAGTATATTTACCCAATGAATGACAAGAAGGTCAGTTTTGAAATGAAGGGGGATATTTAGATTCTACCAAGAAAACAACCACCCTTCTTATTTTTAAATGATTTTCTTATTTCCAGGTCGCCCATGTGTAGACTGTCACGCATTTGAGTTCATGCAGAGGGCACTGCAAGATCTAAAGAAGACAGCTTTCAACCTTGATGCCAGGGTATGTCCCTCCCTGCTGGATGGTTCCCTCATGTCTTTGTGTGTTATTCCCTTTTCATGATTTTATTTTAGACATTCTTCATTTCACATGATATCAAAGTGTTAAATGGCCATGATGTACCAGTTGGTGAACAATGATGGTGATGATTTTACATGCATTGTTTTAGTGAGAGCTTTTATGCTAGGTTTAAATATTATTTATTTATGTCATACATTTTGTTTTATTATGTATAGTGTTTTTATGCTCATGTCTCTGTGTGTTGTGTTTCACCAAGATAAATATACTCCCAAGGAGTGTGACATATTTATTTGATTATTCAGCAAAGAGAAAAGAGGTCAACATTATTACACCGGGAGAAGTAATACAACAACTGTGATGTCTGTACAGTTTCCAGCTGCAGCTACTTTGCAGCCCCCATCAATGGTTAGATTTTAACGATTAAAGTCGAATATGTAAGAAAAAAAAAAGAGATAAATGCAGAGTGATAAGACACCATGTATGTTTCAAACTTCCAAAACGGTTCATCTGTTCATAACTATATATATATATACATATATATGTATAAATAACTAATTAGGAGAAATTACAGTTGGGATGTGTTGAGAAGTCACCTGAAAAAATATTATATCATTATGAACGCCCCTGTTATAAATACAATAGCTTCACATGTAACCCCTTTTAAAATAGCCAAGTATACATGTGTTTCTGAAATGTCTGTAATTAAATATTTATGTAAAAATTTCAGTTATTTATTGCTTTACAGATTACAAAGCCTTTTAAGGCTATTTAAATAAAATTCTTTAAAACATCCATCCATCCATTATCTATACCGCTTATTCCTGAATAGGGCGAAGGGAGGGCCTGGAGCTGACACTGGGCGAGAGGTGGGGTCCATCCTGGACAGGTCACCAGTCTATCACAGGGTTGACATGTAGACAAACAATCACACACAGTCACACTCACTCATAGGGGAAAATTAAAGTCATCAGTCAACCTAAGTTGCACGTCTTTGGACTGTGGGAGGAAGAGAACCCACCCAGGCACGGGGAGTTACTGTATTTAAAGAGTTTAACTTTACCTGATACACCATTTTCTCTTTAGCAGCCACTGAATGTGTTTACTGTATTTATTATTATTATTATTACAAATCATCAGTATGCCTTTGTATTAAGTGTTATAACATTTTCCATGTTAATTTGGAAACAAAAATCATTTTTCTATATTTTATTCACAGTATCCAGCTCTGGTACACACACAGAAAAGCCTCCCTCTTTGTGCAAACTTTGCCTGGTTAGGGGTTGCATAATTTTAATATTGCAGAGAAACACTGGGAAACTATTCTAATTCAGATGCAGAAAACCAAATATCTGATCTTGTATTACAAATGAACTGTTCATGCCAATTTTTGAAACGGTTGCCCTCAAAAATACTGGACGATGGCCCTGAGTTCAGCTGATGTTTAATGCAGGAACGTTTTCATTTTGTCTGTTGCAGACAGAGACGCTGGTGCTGAGGGTGGAGAGGAGGGCTCTGTGCGACTGTATGCCCACCAACTCACTGCGCTGAGCTCTGCACTCTGTAACTGAGGACAGTTCCACCTGTCGTTACACTGAAAACAACACTTTCCAAACCTCTGCTCATGTACAGCAACTCTCAATAGGCACTTTACTTTCTTTTCTGTCATATCACCGTTGCGTGAAGCTTTGATTTCAAATCACGCATCATAAGGTACTTTATTGTTTTGCCTTATTCAACGATTTTTATACCACTGATGTGAACTTAGTGTGTCCTCATCATCACAGGATTTGGGTTAGTTCTCATCTGTCTCCTATGAAGCATAAACTTTATTTTGTACTTTTTAGTATTTGACTGTATAATGTAGATACAAGAGAAAGCATCAGTAAATTTGCTTTTTTGAATATGTTGTATGAAGTTAATATTCACTACAACCATACACTTCAAACTGTAGCAGCACGTGGGATTTATTTAACTGCTCAAAATATAACAGTTTTAATAAGTTCTTTTAATTATCCTTATGAATCAGCAAAATTTCACTGATTAAAATTAACTCATTTGCAGCTCTTCTGAAAAAAGTTTGGGTAACTTATTAAAGAAGTTATTTTATTTGTAACTACCATTAGGTTTTTTCTGTGTGTGTCTGGGGGTAAAGAAATGTCCAACAGAAAAAAAAAAATGAAATTTTACAGATAATATTTTCAGGGTTTTTTAAAGGCAGAAAAAGCATACTTGTCAGTCTTGACTTAGCACAGCACTGTAGCATGAATATACAGCACTTTCTGTTAACCTACTGTTCATATAGATTGTATGTATAGATTATGTATATGTACATGTAATGCAGGTGTTTACAGACTTTGTCTTCTCTGTCTGACAAAGGTGTATGCACGAGTAGTGATAAAAGATATAGTATCAAATGAACTGGAAGATGAATAGAGGAATGCAAGCTGCAGCAAGAGGCAGGTAGAAACAGTTGTCTTATTGTTGCTTGTTCTAGAACAGTGTACATTTATTGTCTTCATGTTGTACCTATCAATAAAATCAGTGAATGATCTGAGTGCTTTTATTTATGTCTTTTTTCTCATGGGATGGTAATCTGTAAAAGAAGCACTGTGTAGGTCTGGACAGCGATTTGTTGTGGTCACGGTCCAGGTGTAGGTGAAGCATGCGGCTCAGTTTGTCTGTTGTCTTTTGATTCATCAGTGAATTGTTTGGTTCATACAATGTAAAAAACAGTAAAACAATAAAACGTAATACAACACCAGAGAATCAGCAAACATTCATATTTGAAAAGATGAAAAAATAATCGCCATTTCTGATAACTACTCAGTCATGTGATATATATATTTTATATAGCAAATAACAAATATTCTCTTGTTCAAACTTCTCAAATGTGAGGATTTGCTGTTCTAAATGGAAAATCTTTGAGTTTTGGTTGAAAGACATTTGACAATGCTGTGGAAAATTATGATGAGCAGTTTTCACTCTTTGACATTTTTGAATAAAACATGCATCCATTAAATAAATCTGACAGATGAATCAATAGTTGCAACCCTAAAGGAAAATCACCTCAGTCAAATGTAGATTTTGCAGTTGTCTTGGGCCATTTCCAGTGTTTAAAGAGCTAATATGAATTTGGGAAAGGGGGCACACACACACACACACACCTCTTTTAGGGATTACAGCACAGGAGAAAGAAAACCTACCAGATCCTTATGTAGACCAGCAGGAGGAGCCCTAAGTGAAGACATGCAGCCAGCTGTGTCACAGTGATGCAGCAGTACTTTCCACACTCTCTGCTTCTCTCAGGGCTGTAAATGCAGATGGTGAAAGCACTGCAAATAGATACAGAATAAGAACTAAGGAGCTACATTAGAGTCACCCAGTCTCAGCCCAGTCACCTCCATGTAAGGTGCTGTCAGCACTACCTTATACTGCACCACAGCACACAACCACAGGCGACCCCATGAGGCAGCTTTAACCCTCCAGGCTTTTACTAGGAGGGACACAGTGGGCTGAGTATGCACGGACATTGAGTATATACTGAGTCACTCTGAAAAAACATGTTCTCAGGCAGCCTTCACTTTCTTGGTCACTCTCCTCTCTCGCCATCTTGCTTTTTTGCAACCAGATTCTGCAGAGTAGCAACCAGAAGTGGAGTGACAGCATCAGATGTCCAATCAATGTGTCAAATCAACTGAGATCTTTATATCATAAAACAACTTATTAAAAAAAAACTTACCAGAAAATAACCATACACATTAGCTACCAAAAAGTACAGAAGTGACCTCTAGGAAAAATGTATCTGGTTTGAACTTTGAGTTTAATTTGGCTCATGTCCCATCCACTAACATGGAGAGGCAGGATTTATGACCTATACTGAAACCAGCCACCAGGGGGTGATCGAGTCACGGTGGCTTCACTTCTGGGAGCTGTCATGGCGTCTGTTTGTTCTACAGTCCATGATCTGAACTGTTAATTCATCACTCTCTTTGCTATGTACTTAAGCCATTTACCCACTGATTTTTAGCAAACTGATCAGACTTGTCACAGGACACATTCACAACACCATGATATTTTTCTGTGTCCCATGAGAGCATATCCAGATAAAGACGGCTATGTGAGACCAAGATTAAAATATACTGTAGTATATAAACATAAAATGCTGCTTTGTAGTTTTGTATTGTATTATAAATAGTGGGAAAACACAGAAAAAAGCACAAATACACTGACACCATAAGACAATGCTCAAAGGGTATTTATTATCATCATAAGTGAGGTGATCATAACAAAGATCAGGTGTTGATTATGCTGACATTTCCATTCTTCATTTACATGTGAACAACAAACATCTGTCCTCCGTATGCTCGATTGACAGGACCCCATTCCCAAAATGTGTCAGGTTCATCGCATCATTTCCCAGGGCTCTCACATTCCGTCCCTCACCTTCAAAGTCAACATATAACACACCACACTGCTTCAAATATTACCAAATATTATTTTCTTACCTTTAGTCACACACACACAATTTCACTGTCAAACAGACACAACATAACAATACTCATTAAATAACTATATAATATAATACATAAATATGAAAATGAGGAAAGAAATAAAATGAGTATTTAGCTACAGTAACTTGCAAGACGTCCCAGTCATCTTTATATCTCAGCCATTATTGTCAAAACTTTGTTGACTATAAGGAAAGTAAATGCCTTTTTGAATAAAATAATATTTCGCTGTTTTATGATAAGCTAGGATCAGTGAACACTGTCCAAAAAAGTATGATAGTTCCATCCATTTGACTAAATACTGTAGCTGATTTGCCAAGTAGTAATATTGGAAATTTGGCGCTTTAGGGCACCTAATGATTTCTTCTTTCAGAGTGTACATAGAGAAATTTTAGGTTTCTTGTTTTTCCAATAAAATTGTGAGGTTATAGAAACAAATGATTTAAACCATTTATCTGTGGGTGTTGTGGGAAGCATTGTTTAAACAGGTAGTTAATTTGAAGTGCATCACACACACCACATCACATTTGATCACATTGTTACCTGTGGGTGTTTCAGGTGAAGCATCACTGTCTGGTACTGGTGCTGCACCGATCACAGCCACAAAAGCAAAGACCAGGAACACAATATTCATTTTCTGAAAGAAAAGCACCAAAAGTTACAAAAACACCAACAAGTGTTCTGAGTATTTACTAACTGATACTTATGGGTCTGTGTACAGAGAAATAAGGGTTTTGTACTCACC